ATAATAATAATAATAATAACCACGACAATAGCGCCCACTCTCCGGTGACTCGAGGCGCTTCACAATAAAATAATACTTCGACGGCTCACACAATGACAAGTTAAGATAACACTTAGACGGCTTACACAACGACAAGTTAAAATAACACTTCGACAGCTTACACAATGACAAGTTTCCTGCACACCGGCCTAGGCCTTCTTCTATCTTAAAAAAATAATCCTTTCAAATAGGCTTATATTGTTATTATGCTTAAATTGTTATTATGCGCCCGTTGTATACAAAGTTTTGACAAACGAACACAAACACACAAAAAAGAGACTGCTGCTGTTCACACTTGTAGTTTGAAGAAAAATCAAACTTGCTAAAAATAATATTTAATTTAAATTAACGTGTCTTCAGTTCTTTAGACCAATGTTAATTGCAGTACCTGGATGCTGTGGAGGGGAATTTCACACTGAGAAGCAGCTGAGAAAAAGCCCCACCTCCAACTTAAGTAATTTTCCAAAGCGCAGTCTTAAATTTTCTTTTGTCAACGGACCGTACATTTTGAGACAGAATAATTTATAATCCTGTAGTAAATTAAGAAAGATATTGTTGTGCCAGATCCTTTAACCACTCAAGCCCGTATCACATGTTCAGTTAAAACTGACATTTATCCGTCCTCTTTGTGATATATTATAAGAAACTGACACAGGATGCATTTTCAGAAAAAAATACTTCTCTTTTGTGATCTTCAAAGTCCAGCAAGAAAAGAGTCATTCGCAAGTTTTATGTTAATTTTGATACGCTGGTTCCGAATTTGATATTATTTTAACGCTAAGACGTAGTTTTCAAAAAATTTATAAACGAGAACTTAATCGCCCGTGGGCGGCAGACAGTCTCACGGCCGGACGCCCAAAAGTCAGCACATCGGCGGCCGACCGATCTTACAGTTTGTCAGGTCCCTTTATAGAACATTACAGCAACTTTGTATTCAATGCAGGCTTTAGCAGGGGACCAATGTAGATGTAAAAGCCATAGTGTTGTGTGTTCTCTAATAGACCTTTAGAGGACAACTATTGCAGTTTTGTTCAATATATAAGGTAAGATAAGATAAGATAAGGTAAGATAAGGTAAGAAAAGATAAGATAATACTTAATTACCCCGGAGGGAAATTTTTCTTGGCTGTACATGTGTATTATAATATTATGATATTCAGTGTAGATCTAAATCGTCCAAGGTGGCCATCCATTGTCGAGAAGAGAATAGTCCAACCTAGTCACCTGAACAAACGGTCACTTCCCATTTCTCCCTTTCGTTTTTTTACATTATGATGACACTGTGTAAGGCGTCCACCTGTCTAAGACGGACCTTTTCTCCTTGACTGTGGGGTGGCCGTCTTAGACAATTTCAACTGTATTTATGCTATCTCTCCCTCCGCCTCTCTTTCTTTTATTCCCTATCAGATTCGTGCTCACTTGTGTTTGAGAGTGTGTATGATGACCAATACATTATAATGATAAATTATATTTATTTTTCTATTATGTATCTGTGTGTGCACGTGCGTATATGTGTGTGTTTGTTTGTATATTTATGTGTTTGTTTGTTTGTTTGTTTGTTTGTTTGTC